CTCCCTCTCCCTCTCTTCTCCTCTCTCTGAGATCAATAAAGATATATATTTTTTAAAAATAGATCAACAGTGAGGAAGTTGAAACAACCATCCAAAACCTCCCAAAAGCCTGGCTGGCATGGCTCAGTGGCTGAGCATCGACGCTTTCCTCTCTCTGAAATCAATAAAAACATAAAATTTTTTAAAAACTTACCAAAAATTAAAAGTCCAGGACCAGATGACTTCACTAGTGAATTCCAACAAACATTCAAAGAAGATTTGATACCTATCTTTCTCAAACTCTTTCCAAAAATTGAAGTAGAGGCAATACTTTCTAACACATCTTATGAGGCCAACATAATCCTGATACCAAAACCTGGCAAGGATAACACAAAAAAAGAAAACTACAGATTAATATCTCTGATGAATACAGATGCAGAAATCCTAAACAAAATACTAGCAAATAGAATACAACAATACATTAAAAAATAATACATCATGATCAAGTGGGGTTCATTCCAGAGCACAAGGATGATTCGACATACACAAATCGATCAACATAATACATCACATTAACAAAACAAGGGATAAAAATCATATGATCTTATCAATAAATGCAGAAAAAGCATTTGATGTGATACATCCACTTATGATTAAAACACTAAATAAAGTGGTATATAAGGAAAGTACATCAACATAATGAAAGCCATACGTGACAAACCCTCAGCCAATATCATACTCAATGGTGAGAAACTGAAAGCTTTTCCTCTAAACTCAGGAACAAGACAATGATGCCTGCTCTCACCACTCTTATTCAACACAGTTCTGGAAGTCCAAGCCGAAGCAATCAGGCAAGAGAAAGAAATAAAATGCATCTAAATTGAAAATGAAGAAGTAAAAGTGTCACTCTTTCCAGATGATATGATTCTGTATGTAGAAAACCTAAAGACTCCACCAAAAAACTCTTAGAAACAAATACAGTAAAGTGGAGGGATATAAAATCAATGTAAAAAATTTCACTGCTTTCCTATATACTAACAGTGAAACTTAGGAAAAAGAAATGAAAAAACACACACCACAATTCCTTTTGCAATAGCAACCGAAAGAATGAAATACCTAGGAGTAAAACCTAACAAAGGAGGTGAAGGACCTAACTACTGAAAACTACAGCCTGGCCGGGCATGGCTTAGCGGTTGAGCGTCAACCCAGGATCCAGGTGATCGGGGTTCGATTCCCGCTCAGGGCACATGCCCAGGTTGTGGGCTCTGGGGCCTGCAGGAGGCAGCCGATCAATGACTCTCTCATCATTGATGTTTCTATCTCTCTATCCCTCTCCTTTCCTTTCTATGAAATCAATAAAGATATATTTAAACAAACAAACAAAAAAACTACAAAGCATTATTAAAAGAGATCAAAATAAGACACAATGAAATGGAAAGATATTCCATGTTTATGGATTGGAAGAATCAACATAGTTAAAATGTCCATATTACCCAAAGTAACATACAGATTTAATGCAATCCTCATCAAAATTCCATTTTTAAAAAATAGAACAAAAAAATTACCAGATTTTTATGGAACCACAAAAGACCCCAAGCCGAAGCAATCTTGAGGAAAAAAAGAACGAAGCTAGAGATATGACACTACCTGACCTCAAATTATACTACAGAACTGTGATAACCAAAACAGTATGGTGTGGGCAGAAAAACACACACACAAACCAATGGAACAGAATTGATAGCCCAGAAATAAAATCACATGTATATGCGCAAATATTTTTTGACAAAGGAGCCAAAAACATACAATTGGAGCAGGGAGGAGTCTCTTCAATAAATGGTGCTGGGAAAATTGGAAAGCCACATGCAAAAGAATGAAACTAGACTACAGTTTGTCACCATGTACAAAATGTAATTCAAAATGCATCAAAGACCTAAATGTAAGACAATTACACAGAAGAAAACATAGGCACTAAACTTATGGACCTTGGTCACAGAGAACTTTTTATGCATTTGACCCCAAAGGCAAGGGAAGTAAAGGCAAAAATAAATTAATGGGACTGTATCAAGCTAAAAAGCTTCTTTACATGCTACCTTTAAGACTAATATGGGCCCAGCCAGGCGTGGCTCAGCGATTGATCATCAACCTAGGATCCAGGCAATTGGGGTTCGATTCCCGTTCAGGGCACATACCCAGGTTGCGGGCTGCAGTTGATCAATGACTCTCTCATCATTGATGTTTCTATCTCTCTCTCCCTCTCCTTTCCTCTCTCTGAATCAATAAAGATATATTTAAATAAATAAATAAATCACAACACTTCAAAATTGAAAAAAAAAAATACCTAACATAGGTGTTTCATAAAGACTAATATGGTAAAATATATAGTATAGCTTGGTTGGAAGTTACAGTCCCACACATTGTCACAGTATTTGCTATCTACCTGAACCAGTACAAGGTATTATTAAAATATATCAGAAACTCTTAACAGCTTAATTAAAATGAAATTTGATGTTACATGATCAGTAATCAACTTGAATATTGTTGATTACTATTTCCTTTAATAAGAACTGAGAATAATAATAATTGTAACATTTCTAATTTTCTCTTTTCTTCTGCTCTTGAACATAAATTAAGGTTGAGATGAGAAGGTTGAAGGTAGCCTAGATGGACTCTAGGTTACTGTTCTACATTTAAATCAATCCTGGACAGCAGATTAATTGATATTTGAAAGTTTATTAGATTTTTATAAATTATTGATAGTTTAACCTCAGTCTTATCTATAAAATTAGTATGACTATATTGATTATGAGTAATTTTTCCCCTGGGAACTAGCCTGTGGATAAGAATTTCTGGTTGTTCTTTGTAACCTTTTCTTTGCCTCTGAAACATGACATTGTGCCCAAAGAAGACAAATTGTGTTCACCATGTTGAATGTTAAGAGTCAGGATTAAAGTAAGAGGAACCTCAAATAAGGAAAGTGGTTGCCATTTAAGGAGCAGCAATTTATTTTAGAGATTTTATGGATTGTGTCCTCATTACCTGTTTTAACAGAACATTGAGTCTCCTCACATAATGTGATTCTTACTCTTTTCCAGAATGTAGAAGCCGACAATCCTCTGCTACATGCCACTCCATTAAACCAAACTCCTCAGTGTCATCTACTGTGGCCCCAGAAAATGGCACAACTAATGGATACAAATCAGGATTCATTCAGACAGGTAAGGGAGTATTTTCTTTTGGAATTTCAAGCAGCAGATGTATATTTAATGAGGCTTTTAAAACTTACTGTCAGCTGGTTTGAATAGAAATATTTTAAAATAGAGGTAAATTACTTGAGTTAGAATTAGAACTCAGCATTGAGATAGGTCAGTCTGTGGGTGACCAGAACCCCCAATCCTGCCAGTGCTAGGACAGGATAGTTGATAGGAAATTTAGCTCAAACTTAGGGCCCTTATAGGCAATAAGAAGAAATCCAGACATGAGGAAAGTCTGCCTCAAAGCTGTCAGGTGGCATGATTGGGGACATACTCATGAAGACTGGAGTTCCAGGGTAGGGCTCTAACATTAAGCCCACAGAACATTATATGGAGAATTATCCAAAATGGGATACAAAGTAAGGTTCCAGGGTAGGACTGAAGATCATAACAGAAGAATCCAGGTTCTAGTTTCTAGAGGTTCAAGATAGGAGCTTGGATATGAATAGCCAGATAAAATTTTAGTGTCTGAAACTGTGACAGTATCAGAGCAGGATCAGCAGAATGGATGATCTGATACTAAGCAGATAAGTTACTAGTCCAAGGCTTCTAAAAATTCTTTCAGTATAGAGGACTGCACTGGCTCAGGCCCTGAGGTCAGAACAAGGCTCCAGGTGAGAATTAATGTTTCCAGGTGACTCAGGGCTGGAGGGCTGTAACCAAAAAAATCACTGCAGATAGTATTTGAGAAAATTATTCAGAAGCAGTCTAGGTTACATCTTAGGCAAGAAGGAAAGTATTTTAAAAGAATTTGTAAAGTACCATTTTACTCATTTGATATGTAGACTTCATAGCATATGTGCTTTGCCAGTGTCCAGTCAACCACTCAAGTAGAAAAGAAGGCTGCATTCATTTATTTCACTACTTAGCATTCTTCTTTCAAATTTATGTGAAATTTCAGTGAGCTGGTAAATTATTTCTATTTATTTTCAAGATGGAAGTAATTATTAGAATATGTTAACAATAGCAATGATAATAAGGCTGACTTTATATGGGACACTTCTTGCAGTGTGTCTAAGCCCATTTTATTCTGGATTTTTAAAAAATCTTTTGCCCTATCTGATTTTGCTCAGTGGTTAGTGCGTTGGCCTGTGGACTGAAGGGTCCCATGTTTGATTCCGGCCAAGGGCATGTACCTCAGTTGCAGGCTCGATCCCGGGCCCCGGTCAGGACGTGTGCAGGAGGCAACCAATCAGTGTGTCTCTCTCACATCGATGTTTCTTTCTCTTTCTCCCTTCCACTCTCTCTAAAAGCAATGGAAAAAATATCCTCAGGTAAGGATTAAAAAAAAAGTCTGACTTTCATCTGTCCAAGAAATTTAGATAGAGGCTGTGATCTAAGAAAAGAGAGATTTTTCTCTTTAGAATAAATGAAAGAACATCACGTCACTAGGTTTTCAAGAAAGAAAAATGTTGGCATTTAGCTCTTGGCATTGAAAGGTTGGCCTTCATTAAAATAATGATAAACCTACATGTCTGTCCGAGAATATTATACTAGTAATTTGATTGATTCTGTGGTATAGTTTCTGCCAATAGGCCTTGGGGTCAGAGAAATGCAATTTTAAAAGTGCAGTATTAAAAATGAATATTTACCATGTTCCAACAAAAATTTATCAAGTGTTCATTATGTTCTAAGGTCCTTGCCAAATGCTGTAAGGCAGGGTTTCAGTACTTGACTGATGGCTCTGATGATTTAAAAACTACTCATATAAGGGATAAAAGAATAACAAAACATGTTACAGTTCCTAGAGGGAGAAGTGGATATATAAATAACTAGTTGTACCTGAAAATAATGAAAACATGTTAAAATTTTAATAAGTAGTAATGCAAAGGAAAGCAGTAATGCATCCTCGTTACATTCATACACCACATGACATTTTGGTCAACCATAGACTGCACGCATGATGGTGGCCCAGTAAGAGAATGGACTATAAGCAAAAAGTTTGTTTGCAATCTTAGAAGAAAATGCTGGCCCAAACTATAATGTTGAATTTACTGCTAGCTCTGGGTGGTTTAAACAGAGGAGGAAGCTCAGCATGCTGTTTACCCGCCTGCCTTCTGCCCTTCCACACATGCTCACACGCACACACTCAGACACTTGCCCCCTCCCTACTGCTCCCGCCCCCTCCTCCATTCCTTCTCTTCCTCTCCTTTTTATTTCTCTGAGGCTCTTGATTTCTGCTCTTCCTTACTCGTCCCTTCTCTTTCTCCCTTCTCTCCCTTTCTCCCTCCCTCCTCCTGATGACCACTCTCTCTACAGCAGCACCTCCCTCCACAGCCCTCCTTCTAACTGCCACATGCATGCATATATACATATACTCATTTATCTTCCTTACTGTATTTTTACTGTACCTTTTCCAAGTTTAGGTATGTTTAAATACCATTGTGCTACAATTGCCTACAGTATTTAATACAGTAACATGCTATTCAAGTTTGTAGCCTAGGAGCAATAGGCTATAGCATATAGCCTTAGGTGTAGGCTGTACCATCTACATTTGAGTAAGTGCACTCTATGATATTCACACAACAATGACATTTCCTAATGACACATTTCTCAGAACATCCTGTCATTAAGCTACACTTGACTATATATCAGGAAATATGTTTTGAAAACAAATGTTGCTCTGAAACCAAAATTCAGGCTTTAGCAAAGGCTCTGTCGGTTGCCATAAAGAGACACAGGCGAGTCACTGAATGACTCACAGTGAACACAAGTGGCCAAGGTTTATGCCAATATTATTGTGTATCCCTTGTGGTGGTGGAAGTGGCATTTTGACCATGAAATTCGCTTTTAACAATTTTAGGTACAATCTAAAGACTTTAGTAGAAGAAATTGCCTTTAAAAAGGAAGCTTTCAGCCCGGCTAGGCGTGGCTCAGCGGTTGAGCATCGGCCTAGGATCCAGGAGATCATGGTTTGATTCCCTCTCGGGGCACGTGCCGGGGTTGCAGGTTTGATCTCCAGTCGGGGACGTGCAGGAGGCAGCCAATCAATGACTCTCTCATCACTGATGTTTCTATGTCTCTCTCCCTTTCCCTTCCTCTCTGAAATCAATACAGATATATATTTTTTTTTAAAAGGAAGCTTTCATCTAAAACTTTTTTCATAACAAATTATGTTTATACAATTTTCAACAATAATTTCTTCTTACATATATTGAAAGTAGTAGGCTGTATAAGAATTTCATGTTAACATTATGAAATCATTGCAAACATTAGAGTATGCAGCATCTCCTTAGCTTTTAGAGATTCATCCTTCTATAAGAGATTGCCGCCTTAATCTGCAATCAGTGACTGCCTATAATTGTTCTTAGCCTGAAATGTAAGCACACACTCGTTGCATAGTTATTTAAAGAGGGGATTACTGACTATTTACATAGCTTTGTCTTGAATTCCACCTGCCAAGCTCTGGATGTTGTGTTCTGGTTGGCTTGTAGTTTATCCTTGCATGTTTTCTTTCAACATATTTATGTCATTGGTAATTCAAATTTTCATCAACAATCCTGGTAAAATATTTTATTTTGCCTGAGGTGGCTATATAGTAATCTGCCTACATTATATACACATAACACACACACACACAAAGATGTATTGTGTTTAATCTGGACAAGAATTCAAGAATAGATGAAAAAAACTTTGCCTAACCCAAGTTCTTAAAAGATTCTTTTCCATGTTTTCTTCTAAAAGTTTTATTGCTTTATCTCTTGTATTAACATCTATGAGCCATTTTGAGTTAATTTTTATGTATGACATGAAGTGAGCATCTAAGTTCATCTCTTTGCATATGGATAGTTATCTCAGCAGCATCTTGGAATAGACTACCTTCTTGTTGGTGAATTGCATTTAAAAATCAGTAAAGATATATTTTTAAAAAATCAATTGACTATAAATATAAGGATTTATTTCTGGAAAAATTGATGAAATGGACCTCATCAAAATTCAAGACTTTTACACTCAAAAGACAACATTAAGAAAACAAAAAGACAAGCAACAGACTGGAAAAAGGCATTTGCAAAACACATACTTAAGAAAGGATTTTTATATAGAATTTACAAAAACTTACAACTCAGTAATAAGGTGATAATTCAATCAAACATGGGCAAAGGATTTGGAATCGACATTTCTTCAAGGACTATGTACGAAGGGCTAATGAGCCCATGAAAATGCACTCGACATCATTAATCATTAGGGAAATGCAAATCAAAACCATAATAACATACCACTTTACACCCACTAGAATGACTACAATAAAAAAGATAGATGAAAGTAACACGAGTCTGTAGATGAGCAGAAATTGGAACTCTGGTGGTACCAGCATTTTACATTGCTGGTAGTAGTGTAAAATGTGGGAGCCACTTTAGAATACAGTTTGGCAGATTCTCAAAAAGTTAAACACAAACTACTACACAACCCAGCAATTCCACTTCTATATATCTACCCAAAAGAAATGAAGATATACGTCCTCACAAACGCTCATAGCAGCATTATTCACTGTGGTTGAAAATTAGAAACAAATGTCAGTCAACTCCTGAACAGATAGACAAACATGTTGTGTATCCACACAATATCACTGGACAATAATAAGGGACAAACTACCGGCACATGCTAAATCATGGGTGAACCTCAAAAAAGTTATTATGCTAAGTGAAAGAAACCAAAGGAGACCATATAGTACATAATTTCATTTTTTTAAGTATCCATTTCTAAATCTTCTTTGGAGAGTTGCCTATACAAATCATTTACCTGTTTTTCCATTGGGTTATTTATCTTTCTATTATTGAGTTGTAAGAGTTCTTAATACAGTCTGGATACAAGTTCTTTATCAGACACTAGCTGCAAATATTTCTCCCACTCTATGGATTGCCTTTTCACTCTCTTGATGATGTCTTTTGAAGCACAGTTTTTTTAAATGAAGATCAACTCATCTAATTTTTTCTTTTATTTCTTGTACTTTTGGTGTTACATCTAAAAAAATTGTTGTCTAATCCAGTGTCATGAAAACATATTCCTATATTTTCTTCTAAGAGTATTATAGTTTTAGCTCTTACATTTAGATGTATAATCCATTTTTGGTTAATTTGTATATATGGTGTGAGGAAGAGGTCCAACTTCATTCCTTTGCATGTGAATGTCCTGTTGTCCCATAATCATTTATTTTTTTAAAAGACTTTTTTACCCATTGAATTTTTTTGACACTCTTGTTGAAATTCAATTGCCCATAAAATGTAAGGGTTCCATTGAACTGTATGTCTGTCTTCATGCCAAAGCCACAGTGTGATGATTGTAGCTTTGTATGAAGTTCTGAAATGGGAAAGTGTCAATCCTCCAGCATTGTTTTCCCCACCAAGATTGGCCATTCTGGGTCCCTTGAATTTCCATATGAATTTTAGTATTAGCTTGTCAGTTTCTGCAAAGAAACCAGCTGGAGTTTTGATAGGGCTTGCATGGAATCTTTAGAACAATTTGGGGAGTGTTATCGTCTTCACACTAAATCTTCTGCTCCATGAGCAGAGGTTATCTTTCCCTTTATTTAGGTCTTTTCAAATTTCAAATTTCTTTTAACAATATTTTGTAGTTTTACAGTATAAGTTTTACTCCTTTCTTATTAAATTTATTCCCAAGTACTTATTCGTCCTGATGCTATTGTAAATGGAAGGTTTTTTTCTTAATTTTAGTTTTCTATTGTTCATTGTAAGTGCTCAGGAATACAATTGATTTCTGCATATTGATCTTTTATCCTGCAACTTTGGTGAACTCAAATTTATTAGCTCTAGTAGTTTTATAGTGTATCCCTTAGAATTTCTATTTTGTCCATTTCATCTGAGTCATCTAATTTGATGTCTGTATGAGTTTGCTAGGGCTGCCATTAAAAAAAAACACACCAAAACACCCAAAAAACAACACTAGAGACTGAGTGGCTTAAACAACAGAAAAGTATTTTCTTTTCTTTTTTTTTAATATATCTTTATTGATTTCAGAGAGAGCAAGGGAGAGGGAGAGAGAAAGATAGAAAAACCAATGATGAGAGAGTCATTGATCAGCTGCAGTCCGCAACCCGGGAATGTGCCCTGACCGGGAATCAAACCCTGATCGCCTGGATCCTAGGTCGATGCTCAACCATTGAGCCACACCCGCCCGGGCGCAGAAAAGTATTTTCTTAGTTCTGGAGGCTGTAAGTCCAGGCTCAAGCAAGGTATAGCAGGGTTGTTTTTTTCACAAGGCCTGTCTCCTTAGTCTTTCAGATAGCTGCCTTCTTTCTATATCATTACATAGTCTTATCCCCCTTCATGCACATTCCTGGTGTCTCTTTCTCTTCTTATAAGGACAACAGTTATATTACTGACCTCATTTAACCTTAATTACCTTTTAAAAACTTTATCTCCAAATACTGTTACATTCTAAGCTACCAGGGATCAGGGTTTCAACATGAGTTTGGGGCTGGAGGGCACACCATTTAACCCATAACATTGGTATGCAGTTGTTCATAATAGTCCTTTAAAAATCTTTTTATCTCTGTAAGGTTTCTGTGATGCCCTCTTTTTCATTTTTGATTTTAGCAATTTGCATTTTTTTTTTCCTTTTTTCTTTGTCAGTCTAGGTTAAAGTTTATCAAATTTTTGAAATAAAAGAACAAACTTTTGATTTTGTTGATTTTTACTGTAGCTTCTCTTCCCTACTTCATTCACGTCTTACCTAGTCTTTATTATTTCCTTCCTCCTGTTTGGATTTTGTTTGCTCTTCATTTTCTAGTTTCTTACAGTGAAGATGAAGTTATTTATTTGAGATTTTTCTCTTTTAAAAATAAAAAAGATCAAGCAAGGTATAAATTCTACCTTGCATCTAGAAATTTTCCTTTAAGCACTTATTTAACATCATCTCATAAGTTTTTGTATGTTGAACTTTTATTTTCATTTATATTAAAGTGATATCTAACTCCCCTTATGATTTCTTCTTTGATCTGTTGGTTATTTAGGAGTATGTTGTTTAATTTCCACATATTTGTGAATTTCTCAGATTTTCTTCTGTTACTGATGGCTCATTTGAGTCCACTGGGGTCATAGAAGATATTTTATATTATTTCAAAGTTTACTGAGATTTATTTTATCACCTAACATATTGTCTGTCCTGGAGAATGTTCCTTGTGCACTTGAGAATGTGTTTTCTCCTTTTGTTCAGGGAATGGTCTATTGATACCAGTTAGGTCTAGTTGGTTTATAGTGTTGTTCAAGTCTTCTATTTTCTTGTTGACTATCTCCCTAGTTATTTTATTCATTATTGAAATCAGAGTCTTTAAGCCTCCAACTATTATTATTGAATAATAGGCCACAAAATCACTCCCTGGTGGTAAGTCAGGCTCTTAGAGAGGCACATTAACTCTTCTGAGTCAGTCAAGGACCATTTCAAGCTCTTGAATTCTTATGAGAAACACTGATTTGATATATTAGGAATCACATTGTAGTGTGAATACTAATTTTTAAGATAATTTCTAGTGTAGCACCAGCAGTACCCTGGTCTCTAGAGTGTTGTGGGTTTTTTTTCAAACCCTCAGAGTTTTAATAGCCCCTTTTGATACTTTCCTGTGTGTATTTATTAAGCTGTTCTGCTTATTTTAGAAAACTCTCTCTGGCACTTGAGTCTTTATCTCTCCTGTAGCCTGTCTCTGAAATGGCACATGTTTTTTCTGGGCTGAATTATTTCCTGAATCCAAATAGGAACTTTCTTTTGGATGTATCTGGTATTACATAGATAAATTAATTCTAGGTTCTTCCAAAAATTAAAGCAACTTTCCTTCAGAGAAAAGTGCTTTCTCCTAGATTTCAGTGACTTAGTTTGCATGACACCTTTTAAATGACAAAATCATGTGGATGGAGATGAATAGATCTCATTAAAATATAGGTTTGAGCCCTGGCCGGTGTGACTCAGTTGACTGAGCATCCTCTTGTGTACTGACGTGCACTGAAACATTGCCGGTTGGATTCCCCATCAGGGCACATGCCCTGGTTTCAGGCTCAATCCCAGGTCGGGCTGCATGCAGGAGGCAGCCGATCAATGTTTCTCTCTCACATCCATGTTTCTCTGTCTCCCTGTCCCTTCCTCTCTCTCTCAAGTCAATAAAAACACATTTTTAAAAATAAAAATAAAATGTTTTTTTAAAAAATATGGGTTTGATGAAAACTGTAGAGACAGTTTTACTATTACACATAATGATAGCCTTGATGTAACATCATATGCCTTTGACCAAATTAAATGACTACCACTATTTAAGATAATAGTACCTACCTCATTGAGTTTTCATAGGGATTAAGTGAATTGATATTTTTAAAGTTCTTGCACTAGTACCCAGCACATAGTAACTTTTTTAAAAAATGTTTTTATTGATTTCAGAGAGAGGAAGGAAAAGAGAAAGATAGAAATATCAATGACGAGAGAGTCGTTGATCAGCTGCCTCCTGCATGCCCTCTGCTGGGTACCAAGCCCGCAACCCGGGCATGTGCCCTGACAGGATATTGAACCTCTATCTCCTGGATCCTAGGTCAATGCTCAACTGCTGAGGCACGCCAGCCGGGCCCACATAGTAACTTTTAATGAGTGTTTGATAAATACATAAAAAAGAAAAACCTGAAAAATAAGAAATTGACTTTCCTAAATTGGGTCAAGGAAAAAACTGAAAGTCTACAATCTGCTTTCTGTCACCTCACTCTTGTTGAATTAACTTCCTTCCTGCATATCTAAATAGTTGCTAATCTGAACAACCTCTTTCATTTTAAAGATTCGCCGATTCTCAGTCCAGCTAATTCTGCAATCAATTTAAGTGGAGCTCAGGACCTGACCCGGAATAAGAACGTTGTGAAGCCACTGGCTTTATCTTTGCAGGTTGTAGGGAAGACTTTTGCTGCAGGTGATGTTTTCCTCACTTATATTTCTTTGGTAAATACATAGTCTATAAAAGACGTGTGAAATTTAATTGACAACTTGGTAGATGAAAACAGAAGCTGCTTCTTTGCCAATTGAAGACAAAAGTGGGGTTGTCTATAATAATGCATTATTATACAAAGCTTTGTGTTTTCTGTGTTCCAACTAGAAGAGTCAAAGAATGACATTTGTAGACGGGGAGACAGAGCAGGTTGATTTCATTCAACAAACATTTCTTGGGCACCTGTTATGATGAGGAACTGGGAATACAAAGATAAATAAGGCTCAATCCCTGATCTCTAATGTACTTGTAACCTAGTAGGGGAGATAGACCCATAAGAAGATATTTTCAGTGTACTGCAGTAAATACAGCACAGAGAAGGGGATTTTACCCCGTCATTTTGTGGACTAATCAAGAATGAATTATGGTCTTTGGACTATGAAGATATATTCACTGTACAAAGGAATTCTGGAAAGACATTTAAAATTCAGAGAAACACAAGAGCAAAGCTTGAAAAGAAAAGGAAAGGAAAGCGGCATAAAGTGTGCAGGAACTTGTGCAGCAGTTTGGACTTGTTAGAACCATAAAATTTAAACTCAGGAAGTGGCAGGAGGTGAGCAAGTGGTAGACAAGGGAAAGGTCACAGGAGGCCAGGCTGAGAAACATAGATTTTACTCTGTAATTTAGGGAACAGAGGAGTGACATGGTCTTATTTGAACTTGAGCTAGATCATTTTAGCAGCCAAGAAAATAAGAGGTAGGAAAACTAGTTGGAGGTCATTTCAGTAATTTAGGTGAGAAATGATAAGGTCTTTCACCAGGGTAATAATAGGTTGGAGAGGAGAAGACAGATTGGAGAACTATTCAGGATGTAAAATCAGAAGGACTTGACTGATTAAAGTGAGCATGAAGCAGAAGGGGGTCTTGGTTTACGTTCATTTTTCTGGGCTAATGCTGGTGCCGTTACTTAAAAAGGAGTAGTTTCCCCAGGAGGAGATCGTGGATTTTATTTTGGATATGTTGAGCTTGAGATACTCATGAGGCATCCAAGTGGAGAGTCATTTAATTTATTATGGGGAAAATCAGAACTGATAGTATAGTATAAAGTTGAGTCACCAATTTATGATTAAAGTCACCAGGGTAAATTGTATCAGCCAAGGAGTAATGGAGTGTAAGGCAAGCTATGAGCTCAGAATAGAATCCTAGAAAGTTCCCGTGTATAAGGAAAAGGTAGAAGAGGAATGAAGAGAAAGAGAGCACACCATTCTTGAAAACTTCCCAAGTTAGGCATCACAAGGTATCCAGATTAGATTATAGACTTGAGTAAGCTGAATCCAAATTTTTGCAGCATTAAAAAATTAATGAAATTATGGATCTTGGCAGTAATCTCATGGTTGCTAAAACCACCAGATGAAAGGCTGATGAACAACTTTATAATTCAAGAATTAGCCTAACGACTCTTGAACCCACTGATCAATCTTAACGTCATAAGAGAGAAAACCAGCCATTCTGTTCCTCTTGATGGATGTATACAACAGTACTTATGAGATACTCTTGGGGAAAAAAAAAATCAAACCCAAATCTGAGTAAGCTTCTATATCTAATGATTAGTTTATAAGAAAGAGAGGAGATATTAAGTGACACCATGGATATCCAATAAGCAAAATTCAAAGAATGAGAAATTCTGCCAGATTTTCAGCAAATTAATTGTAAGAAAGAAAAAGAAGAAAGGGAATCTGATATATTAAAAGAAGTTTAAGGGACAGAGCAACTAAATTTAATGTGTGGATCTTTTTTGAACCCCAGTTCAAACAAACCAACTGTAAAAAACCATTGTGAGATAATTGGGGAAATTTGAATACTGATGGAATATTTGATACTAGGAAATTACTAATCATTGTTAATTTTAAGTATAACAATACTATAGTTGTTTGTTAAGAGTTCTTTTCTTTTAGAAACACATGTAGAAGTATTTATGGATGAGGTGATATGATAAGTGAATTTGCTTCAAAATAATCCAGAGCACATATGTGTGTGTGTAGCATGAGGGGAAGAGATAGGAAGTATAGATATTGCGAGATTGGCCATGTGTTGATAAATGTTGAAGCTGGGTGGCGGGTACATAGTTTATTATACTGTTCTCTCTACTTTCATATATGTTTGAAAATGTCCATAATACAAATTTAAAAAAAGTTTTCTTCTACCTACCATCTCCAAAGACTTTACTGAAAATGATTCTAAAAGATCTCTTGGGGTCCTAGAAAATTATTTTTAGGTGACATTTCATTTTGATGAAGGTATTACTCTGATGGTTGTAATTGGCTCTATCTAAATGCACTGCCCTGTAGTGAGATTTCTTTCTGTCCTGGAGTGTGAGGTTTATCACATGGTTACAGCATCACAGAAAGCAGTGTCCTCCCTGCTCTGAGTGGTTCCTCTTGTTTACTACAGATGCTGCTAATGGAAACAGTAGCCATGGAGGGAAGAGCAGTACATCAAGCTCCACGCCAGCCCGCCCAGGGAATTACCCTTTGTCACCAAGACCTAGCTATGCATCAGGAGATCAAGGTACTATATTCATCTTAGAGTTTTGAAACAATGCAATTTAACTGTGGAAGCAGTGCTACAGAGTTTGGAATGATGAGTTATCTGACAGCCTACTTTCAAATTTTCCTTAGTTTCTCGTACACTGTTTTGAAAGATTATTATTTGTGTGAGCAGTAACGATTAAATATCTTGGTGATTCTAGAGGATGAGCACTTATCTAGGAAGTAATGTTCAAGCCTATGGATAAGGAAGTGTCTTGAAAAATGGTGGGCTTTGCTGACCAAAGTACACGGTTCAAAGTTCCTCTCTATTGTGTGACCCTGGGCAAACGTGAGCCTTCGTTTCCCCATCTACAAAATGGATATAACAATATATTTGTCCTACAGCCTCACAGGGATGTTGATAGAATGAAATGAAATAATCTGGGTAAAACTGTAAATTAGAAAACAGCCTACAGATGTTAAGTGGTATTGTTAGTGTGATGACTTTTCTTAATTTTATCTTTACCTCTGGAAGAGTGACTTAGGCTTTCTGAGTATAATCAAATGAAAGGTTCTATGTTTCTCTAGCTTCTTTCCTTTCTGCCACTGCTAAGGACAAGGTTCACCTTTCTTTTTGTCTTCAGCTACCATGTTCAGTTCTGGGCCACCAAAGAAACGACACCGGGGATGGTACCCTGGGTCGCCTGTCCCCCAACCTGGTTTAGTTGTACCTGTTCCTACAGTTCGCCCCCTTTCAAGAACTGGTAAGATCTCAACAGATGATGGGCTTTAAGTTTTACTGAATTAGCAGAGGTATCTCCTGTTCTTGTTCTTTTCCTGCACCCTTGAAGATAAATTTCCTTAACCAGCCATTGCGTCCAATATTATGTAACTATATCAATATTTGTCCCCATCACATCTGCCTTTACTAGAAGCACATGTGCTATCACAACAGACCTTAATTCACCATCTGATTTTGTTTTAGCCATTGTATTGATAAGCCATTTTTACATAGGGTACGAGGCTACCAGCCCCCCATCCTAGAGCAGAAATGCACTTGTTTTGCCAGCGGTGGTGTTAGATGTGTCCCCCAATGATCTGGTTCCTTATGTGACCCATACTTATTGTTTCTGACTTGGATGGTTCAGTCTGTGACTAGAATCCTGAAAAACCAACTAGTTCTTCTTTAACTCTAGCTATGGCCATTTGTTAGCTATGGCCATTTAGCTATAGTTAAATGTTCGAATGTTCATCTACCTCGCTATATTAAACAGAGANGCGTCTATAGTTAAATGTTCGAATGTTCATCTACCTCGCTATATTAAACAGAGAGATACAGCTATATACACAAAGAATCATGCCAATATGTTACCGCGGTTGCCTGTAGGTAGTACTGATTGGTGATGAGTTGATCCATCTTCAGACTTTTCTATATTTTTCTTTTTTTTTAATAATGAGAATATATGCTGTGATATTCTGGTGGGGAAAGATAAAATACAAAACAGAATCCAGAAAACTACACGTGAAAAAACTACCCAAAATGCTAAATAGTTATTATCTCCAGATGATGTGATAATGGTTGAATTTTTTCCTTTTGTTTTTCTCACTTCTAATTTTCTATAATAAACATGAATTACTTTATTGAAAAAACAACAACAAACCATTATACTTCTAAAACTCCCATATTAAAAGTATTAACACTACATTTATCTCAATTATATTGCCTTTAGCTTTTATGTCTAATCCTTCTTGTCAAACAACCTTTTTTTGCAGAGTCCCTTCTGTCTGCCCCAGTCCCACAGACCCAATTAACTGGAATTTTACAGCCTCGACCCATTCCTGCAGGGGAAACTGTAATTGTTCCTGAAAACCTGCTAAGTAACTCAGGAGTTAGACCAGTCATTCTGATAGGTAAGACAAAGGAATTTCAAATTGCCCCTGTCAGCTGGAATCTAGGAGAGCTTCTCCATTGCATTGTTTCTGAATTTATTTTTGTGTTCGTGAATATATTTATTTATCCAGTTATTGATTCTTTCAGCTTTTATTGGTCAGCTCCATGCTATACTAAACATGTGACTAGAGTTGGGAATAAAGCAGTTTTTTGGCCCACAGGAGCACTGTTTAGTTAGGGAGTCTGTCATGTAAATGACAATTACGACACTCTGTGATACTTGAGCTGGTAGAGGTTCCCAACCAAGAACTACTAGAGCTCAGAGGAGAGGGAGCTTAACTCTGCCTGAAGGAGAGTCTGAGAAGACATCTCAGAGGTGATGTTTTGGCTAGATCCTGAAGGGTAGGCAAGAGTGGACAAGATAGGGAAGGGGACATTTCAGTTAAAGGGAGCCACACCACAGAGGAAAGAAACAAGCTGAGCCAGCTAACAGGTCCCACTCAGGATAACCAAGAGGTCCCAGAGTTGCAGATCTGAATCAGGGGGAAGCATCTGTGGCCAGTATCTTTAAGGAGTCTGAGTCCTAAGCTGTCTATAAGTGGAGGTGTAGAAATCTATGGGTCCCTAGATTCCAAGATTTAGTGATTTTCACACCTACTCAATAGTCCTCTCATTTGGGGACTAGGCTAGACCAGAAGGAGACTGCTTGCTTTACTTTTGGGCCTTAGCAGATAGGGTGTTTAAGCCCTACTAGATCTTCAGGGCATGTGTATGCAAAGTGTTATCTGTTTCTTGCCATTGGCTTGAGCCTACTGGCATGAATGGTTTTGTTTCAAGCCCTGTGCTTTATCATGCTTCCCTATCCACCGATCCTAGACCCAGAGCCACTGGGAGAAATCTCAGTTATTTAAATTCCATACGTTGGGAAGTTCTTATTGAACATTTGAGTTGTATGCATAATGCAGCTAAGCCTCAGAAAGATACATGGAACATGGGAACCCTTTGGTGTCTGCGTTTTAGAAAAATTCACAGAGGGACTGTCCTCCCAACCACACCACCAGAACAGGGTATATTTTTAACATATTTTTGTCCTATCTACTTCTAAGATAATTTGAGACTGTTTATTGACATTAGGAAGAAAACATAAAAATAGCTAAGATAGCAAAAGGAGTGGAACCTCCACGGACCTGAGACTGGCGGAATATTGCTGTTGATCAGAGTTTAGCTTAAAAAACGTTTAAAGAAAACCTTAGGAAGTGACACTTGTTATCATAGTTTGTTTCTTTCCGACTTATCTGAAAAGAAACTTGATCAGGAATTTTATGGGAAAATATTTTATCATTGCTGTTTTACAAAAGATACATAGATGTTTTGCAAACTCTCATCAATCCTTTATAGCAGAGATATAATATTACCATGTCCTTTCTGTGGGAAACAGGGATAGCATAATCTTTTAGTACTTTGCCTCCTGTTCATCTGATTTAATATAAGGGTAGTATTTGGGGCATCTGAGTGAATTCCCTAGGATTGATATATTTGAGTGATTTGTCAGGCAGCCATCTCAGAGAGCAGGGAACTTTGTTAAGCATTTTTGATCCTAGTTGAGCGAGTGTACCTGATTGGACCTGAGAGTGAAATATTGAACTTTATTGACCTGCTTCTACTGGGACAGGCTATGGCACTTTACCCTATTTCTATGGAAATGTTGGTGACATTGTTGTGAGTCCTCTGCTGGTGAATTGCTACAAGATTCCACAGTTGGAAAACAAAGACTTGGAACAATTAGGGTTAACTGGCAGCCAACTCCTGAGTGTGGAAAACATGATCCTTCTAACAATACAGTATCTTGTACGGCTGGGTAAGTTATTTTCAAGAATCATTTGATGGTGACAGTTTTTACTCTCTTTTGTATTATACTTTTTTCCTTTTTGTCTCCACATCCTCACATTCATCCATCTGCCTCTTACTTTCCCTCTTTGACTCCTAACAATCTTTTCCTTCAATTCCCTTTCCTCTTCTCCATTTCTTTTCTACTCATTTTATTCCCTTTCCACCACTTGCCTGTTTCCTTTCTCTTTTTTCCCCATTTCTCTCAGATTTAGCATTCTTGGCTCCTCCTTTTGCTTCTTTGAATCTTAGAAGAGGTAAATTGCTCCACCTAGTGTCCAGTCTCATGATGGACCTGCGGTCTCCGAAGTATTTAATGACAGAACCTCTAAGGGCTGTGTCATGGGCACCCCTCCTTGGCCAAGTCACCTTTCTGAAAGCGCACCTACCACCTGGAATGCAAATGTAGCCATTGAAAATTATTTTTCAGTTTTCCATTTAGCCTTTTTATCTTGTTTATCCACTGTCCCTACACCTATTTTTTTTTTCTTCTCCAGCTATACCTCTTTGATGTAGTCCCATGCTTTTTTCCTTCATTGAGGTAGTAACTAGACCTCCTTAGAAGGCTCTCTAGGCTTTAGGGAATGGGGATACATAGGTCATGACCCTTCACTTCCTTTATTTGATATTTCCTCTGAGCCCCACAGTGGGTGTATGCAGGTGCTTTGACAATACTGCAGTGATTCAGCATCATTTACATTGCAATGTTCTTTATTTTGCAAACTGCAGTAGGTCATCCAATATGCAACCTGATTATATACTCACTCTAGGACTTCACGCCACTGATTTACTTAGCAAGATGTTCAAGATTTAAAGTTACACCAAAAATTTTGTTATCTTCACTCTTGTGAATTTTTTCATATTTAAAAATATTTTAGTGTTGAATGATAAACACTGGGTTCAACAGTGTTTTTTTCAGAAAGCTTCAGCAGGCCAGATTCAGCCTTTGGAGCATCAGCTAGCATTCCTGACTGCAACTCTTGGTGCCCTGAGAGCCCTAAGACCTGCTTTGACATGGGATCTGCTTCAGCGACACTGGCTTTTGAAACTTACAAGGTTTCAGATATCCCACGAGCCACTTCCATGATAAACCCAGGACTTGTAAATCATGCTTATTAGTGACTAATAAAATTATAAAAACCAGCTATGTCTGCAGCTCACTTGATATCATCGTTTTAACTTGTATGTACAAACTTCTGGCTGTATTCCAAGATCTAAAATGAGCTTTAGCTGTATCCAGAATCAGTAAAACAAGGACAAACAGAGTAATGCTATTATAACAAACCAAGGCAATCAGTATAGCTTTTTTTCAGCCTTTTGAAGAAGGGAGCAATAATATTTTCACATATGCTGTAGATTATAGATAGACACGTTTAAAAGTAATTCCAAATTTCTAAAAGGACAGGCCTAAAACTTTGATGGTTTAGTTACCTGGAGGTAACAGAAGAAGAAAAGCAAGATTCCTCAGAAGGAACAGGCCTTTCCACTACAGTCACTTTTTAAACAATCCCTGTTATTTCACAATCTGAAAATCTTTTGAAGTAGATAATGAAATCAGCAAATCCAGAGATTCTTGGGTAGCTGAGTCTGTTGGAACCTTGTCTCTTCCTATTAAGGTATTTCTATCTGAAAAGCCATCAGAACTGACGCCTGAGCTAAGCTGAGTTACTGGAGATCAGCACTTGAAGGAACAAATTTTATTATTAAGTTTGGGAAAAGTAGAGAGAAGGCTCCTACAATTTAGCTGTAAAGGCTGAGGAAGAAATGATGGGAGGTAGTGGGAAGCAAGGCATTTTACTTTAAGAAATCTCTTACCTCATTTAAACTTTGATACACTTTCCCATTTCTCAATTCCTAACAGTAATTCAGTCAAAACTCTCTGAAAGTAAGTTTTAAGGCCATGGAGAATGCCATGAACATGTTCAGTGATTTTATTTTCCCTGAATGACTTTATGTTTGGAATTAATTATGGTGCCTAATAGAATGTGTTAATCATGGTTTGGAGTGAGTCTTACGAACGCACCTATTAACCAGGCCTCTGAGCCTTCAGGTTGTCTACAAGAGGGAGTAGGGAAATTGGAGACAGTCAGAGCCACATGCTTTTTGAGCTGTCATTTTCTCTGATAGGAGAAAGCTCTAAATAGACGACCGCCTCCCCTTCATCTCATACAATCAGTGCGAATCTATCCACTTTGAGCTCAGTATCAAGTGTGTACCTAGTAACCACTAACCATGATGCTAATCTAATAAAGTAAATAAGTATCAGGTGATAAGAAGCCATCCACATCCCCCTAGCACTGATTGGGAGGGACAAAGGAAACATAAACACAATGTCAGCGTTGCAATTTTCTCGCCCTCTTTCTATGTATAGAAGAGAAAAATCTGTTAGGATTTAACTCCCCTACCTTCCTCTGGCCCCCAGCCAGTCCTCGAAAAACTTTTCTTCCATTAAAATTGTTTATTTTTAAAATGTGTAATATTTTATTTAATTTTTCTTATTCTAAACCTTCCTTTTCTTACTTTCCCAGAGAGATGGTAGGGGCCAGGGAGGCCACTTCAACCCCTGCTAGAGGAAGGAAAGATTTCTGACTTGAGCAAGGTGCCTCCTCCCCATACAGAAGTCCAGTCCCTTATGCCCTTATTCTTTCCCAAGGGCTTTCAGCACTGAGTTCTGAGACCATTGTCTGTTCTCACAGACTCTGAGGAGTCTCTTTCTGTTTACCAGAGCCCGAGTTTCAAATCTCTGCACAGAAAAAAAAAAAAAAAGAGTCTGAACAGCGCAATTGAACATAGTTTCATTGGCTTTAATTTAAACTAAACATAGGAATTCATTTGTGTTGACTTGTTTATTTTATTCTAAAGACTGATTGAATTTCTGAAGAGAGTAAGAGGAACAAAATCCCTCTAATTCCCGAGGCTGCAGGTCACTCGGAAGCTTAGCCACAGCCATGGCAGGGGAGAGGGCTCCATGCCATACTTAACATCCCAGAATACCTGGGATTAACTAGGTGGTGAGAGCGTGCGCTAGCTGGGGAAGGTGTGAGGCTGCCTAAATATAAGTTGAGAGTGAAAATAAGCTTAATTTTCTTGTGGATGATAGTATTCTCAAAATCAGATATACAGGCAATGCATGGAAGTATTTTACATAGAACCTGTGAATAAAATGAGAAAATGAGTGAAACCTAAGGTTGATCATAGTATACCTGTAGATTAGTGTCTTACTTCCTTAGTTATCGGCCATTTCCATAATGCCAAGTTTAATAGGCCAGCAATATGAAACGTTCAGTGACCATCTCCTAAGGCATACAGTGGAATTAATACTATGTCTGAGTACAACCTTTTTTAAAGATATCAAGACTAGAATAAAGGAGAACAGAAACCTGCATTNGTACTTTTTTAAAGATATCAAGACTAGAATAAAGGAGAACAGAAACCTGCATTTTTAAAAAATATTGAGGCAGACAGAGAAAAGAGAAGGTGATTTCACAATGGAAAATGGTTAGTGGGGGCTCTATACTTGTGGCCACTTACAGGAAAAAGCGTATTTGCCAGTTGGAGTATGTATGGTGGACTTAGAAGGACTGCTCACTGATGTCTGTCTTTTCTAGCTGTGATTTAAAAAAAAAAAAAAAAAATTCTAGCTGTAATTCTCTTCAATTTAGGTCCTGATCAGATACCTCTCAGGGAAGAATTTGAGCAAATTATGCTGAAAGCTATGCAGGAATTTACTCTGAGAGAGAGAGCCCTGCAGATGGGTGCTCAGTGCACACCTGTGTCGCCAGGACAACTCCCCTGGCTGGCTAGATTAATTGCCAGTGTATCTCAAGACTTGGTTCATGTGATTGTGACCCAGAACTCTTTGGCGGAGGGCATTTCAGAGACATTGAGGACTCTCAGTGAAATGAGACACTATCAAAGGCTACCAGATTATGTGGTGGCAATTTGTGCATCGAAAATCAGAGGAAATGAATTCTGTGTGGTAGTATTAGGTGAGTAATGTTTCTTGTTTTTTTGTTTTTAACCCATTCATTCAATTGTCTGTCCATTTGAAAAATGTCTATTGGCTGTTTCAGGCATCTGTGCAATTAATCTCTGGCTAAGTGCTCCCACTTGGGTTCTTTCCCCTAATTTTAACTTTTCCTTTGCTCCTTAGATCAGATTTTCATAGCCCTTAGTTTGGCTGGTGTCCCTGTCAGCTGGTTGTGGGAGCATTATTTCAAAGCATACCCTGGTAACAGATACCCTTGACTCATGTAACTTCTCTCCTTAAAAAGTTTTGGAAATGTTACCATTCTAGCATGTGATAAAGCCATTGCCACAGGTGGCCTAAGCCAGCGAGTCAAATTTGCCAAGAACTTAGCTCAAGGATTCACCTCCTCACTGAAGAAGATATTTAATGTTATAATGTTCACTCTCGGTAAAAGGTTCAGAAAGTTGGTACATTACAAAATGTATTTTTGTTTCTTGTGCTGATTTTCTATCAGGAACCATCCTGAGTAGCCATTTGGACTAAATTTTGCTTTTCTTCTCTAGTGAGTGCTCTCAGCTCTTCCTACCAAAGAGGCCAACCCCCCCCACCTCCCCTCACCCCGCTTTGACAAAACCTGCCTGCCCATCTCTCTATGATATATGTCTCTTTCAAAAAGTGTAATACATTAGAGTTTTTTTGTTTTTATTTGTAAAATCAATAACATATGTTTATATTTTTAAGACAGATGTTCATCATAACCATGCAAACAATTTTTAAAGGTTTTTCCTCCCTAGCCTTTAAACACAGGTATGTATGGTATGTTTTCACAGTTAGAAACATAAGATATGTCATTTTTTTCCCTTTATCATCTAACATCATATTATAAACATTTTGTGTTTAGAACTGTAATTTCAAATGCTGTGTAATTTTCCACCCTTTGATGTGCTGTACTTTTTTTAACCAGGTCCCTATCATTCATACACTTTTAGTTGTTGCCAGTTTTTGCTCTTATAAATCATGTCCCAGGGAACATGTGTTCACTGGCACATTGTCTTCTCTCTCTGTGTTCTGCAGGTCAGCATCAGTCCAGGGCTCTGGCAGAAAGCATGCTCACCACAAGTGAGTTTCTAAAAGAAATAAGTTATGAGCTCATCACAGGAAAGGTCAGTTTCCTGGCATCGCATTTCAAAACCACATCATTAGGTGAGTGGTTGTAGGATTCAGCAACATTGCCAGCCCTGGCTGCGTGATTTTCTGAATTTAAGTCTTAGTATGTCAGGGAGATAAATGTGGAGCTTGAGCTTGTCGGCTGAGTTCCCTTCACCCTCCCTTCATTTGGAATGGTTTACCCTCAGTATTCTGTGACTGACACAGCAAGGGGGTCCAGAGGAAGGCACAGGGGTACTAGAATGGGAGGCCTCAGCTCAGCTACCACTTTGTTGTCTGACCTTGGGCGAGAAACTCTCTCCCCAGATCTCAGTTTTTAATATGTCAAAGGGAGATATGATGATCCCCTCCTGCCTTCTTTTAGTATTACGGAGGTCAAGAGAGATAGAGCCTGAGAAAGCGTGTAAACTGTTAGCACAGTATAAAGGAGGGTAGCTCTGGATATGGAGACACTGCTGCAGGGATGGCGGAGTGTAAACTTGGATGTGAAAAGCTGGCTGGCTGACAAATCTTGATGAGAACCCAGCTTAACTGCCCTACCTGGAGGCTGATGACAGCGTATCATTCCTTGTAATCTTATCTCCGTTTTATTTTGTGATAGGCGATGACCTGGACAAGCTGCTAGAAAAAATGCAACAAAGAAGAGGAGACAGTGTTGTGACCCCTTTCAACGGTGACCTTCATGAATACGTGTCACCTCAGGAGGCTGCTGCTATGATCCCCACGCAAAACCTGGGTAATGTCACCTCAGGCCAAAGGCAGGAAATCAGCCTTCAGGCCAGACGTGATAGAGGCTAAGTCATCCTAAGGGTTTAGAGGTCTCATCTTCAAATCACAGACGGTAACAGGCTTTTCGTCATCATCTACATGATAAATCCGGCTCAAATTAAAAATGCCTTTCCAAGTGGCCTGGGTCAAACACCTTGTTCTTAGTAAATATCTCCTAGAATTTAAATCAAAGTCAAACACTTTTTTTAAAGCATTATCTTTTTTTTCCTGGAAAGATTCCTGGGTCCTTGGTGTACTTTCCTCAGCTCCACCAGCTGTGCCCGAAGACCTGTACATGCTCATGGAGGCCTTCAAATAACTGCTTGAAAGAGTCTAGACTACAGTCCATGCAGGGCTCCTTGCTCTCCATTCCCTTCATTTTCTCTCTGATGTGTAAAACGCACATGATCAGGGATCGCGAGGCCTCCCTGACAGATGGAGCAGCAATAGCAAAACATCATTTGCCTTATCACAAGCTTCCTGGACACAAAGGGGAATGAAGGGTGGGACCAGGGGTGAGGAGTTCAGTCAGTAGATTGGATTCATTTTGGTTCAAATTCCCCAATTCCCCGTTTGATGGGGACATCATAGGAAAGGATGGAAAAAAAGAACAGGAGAAAGCACAGATAGAAACCAGATCCATATAAGCTGCTGCAGACAGCCTTTTGGCCTCCGCTTGATAGGAGTGCATCATGTATATATCAGCATTGCCGCAGCAATGAAAGTAGCATGGCTTGGCATCAGTTCGGCCATAAAAACAAATGCAAATACAGGCAATAAAATTTTTTGACTTCTGGACGTTATTTAGTAGTAAAGTGATCATTCAGATGATCTAAAATGTATTTATACTGTTTTGAATTACTAACAAAGTTAGAATTTATAAATTCTCAAGAGGCAGAGGATTTACAGATTCCCACATACATATCTTTGATTCCCTGTTTAAGAAACATTGCTTAAAGATATTTTTAGATTTCTTCAAACTTTAAAATTTGCTAAGTTAAATTCTACAAAGTTATGCGATTATCTATGCCAAGTTCCCACCCACCTAACCTGTGAAATGAAAAAAAAAATCTAATGATCAGAAGATAGACTTATTTTGATTGGGAATTTTTCTGGGTCAGAAACTTTTGGGGCTACTATTAAAAGTGACAGCTCTGGGCTTTTCTAGTGGGTTCTCTCAGCTAGTAGAGTTTCTGGTGGGTTCTCTACCCACCAGTATAAATCTCCACTCACTGTCAGGGTCCTGTGGTGGCTCAGGTCTCATGACTACCATCTTTGCGTTGGCCGTATTGCAGTTTGATTTTAGAGAATATTAATTAGCACAGGTTAATTGGGCCCTTGTATGCCAGTGAGACTTCCACATGTGTTCCTGATAAAAAGCAGCCCTTTAAAGAAGTATTGGATGTTGCCTGCTCAGGCATTTAGCTGACTAAGCCTGTCTCATTGTGTGAGTGCAGGCATGCCGGTATAAGAGAGATTGATTGCTTGGTTATAACTTGTAATAAAAAGCTACTGACATGCTTAGAGTATCTGGGCAATGTTTTTCTAATATGTCACTTACTGAGAGGCCAGCTGGCCATGTCATGAGTTGGGGCTCTTCAGATAATACAAGCGTCAGCACTGGAGTTGGCCATAATCGCCTAGATCTGCCAGGTCACAAGCACTGGCAAAGTCAAGTGTGAAAAAGGTGAAGGTAGTGTCTCTGTGACCTACGTTATGCAGTCACTGGGAGGAGTGTTTTAAATCATGTTGCAATGGGCTTCCTGGAGAGGAAATGTTTACTACAGTGCCATCCAGGCAAGCTTGAAGGAACTCAGCATTATTAGGGTTAGGACATTGCCTCCTTCCCTGGACTGGGGAACCTGACCCATGCTGATGGTCCTAAAGAAAACTGGAAACTCTTTCCTCCCCTTCCAGAGATGAGTCCTGGCTCCAGCTGAGAGGGTGTGGTCTGTCCCCACTCCATTTCAAGGGAGAGGAGGGGTGTTGAGTTAGTGATTTATGAGACAATTGATTTTAAAATAATACATTTGAAAAATTACCACATCCACTGTTAAGCACATCTTTGTAACCAAGTTTTCGGGGAAAATAGACAAATCTATTAAAACACAATAGAGAGTGAAAATAGATAGTGAGAGCTCTTAGTGATAGAGCATTACTTTACCATGTGTGTGTGCATGCACGTGTGTATTATATTTCCCCACTATGGATTCCCAGTGGCCATCACAGAAGTGAATTAATCTTCTTCTTATGACTTTTTTATTTTAGATTTAGATAATGAAACCTTCCAAATTTATCAACCACAGCTTACAGTGGCCAGAAAACTCTTATCCCAGGTGTGTGCTATAGCAGACAGCGGCAGCCAGAGCCTGGACCTTGGCCACTTCAGCAAAGTGGACTTCATCATCATTGTCCCGAGATCGGAGGTTCTGGTCCAGCAAACTCTTCAACGGATTCGACAGTCAGGTAAGACTGAACTTTCAAAGAGGACCCTGCCTAGATTCAGCCTTGCATTCCCTCTGCCTCTTTCTTTTGCTTAATCCAAATATTTATAGGACAATTCCATCTTTTTTTACAGTAATAAAAAGAGTACTGTAAATGTTACTAGAATTTATCTGTAAGTTTTCCCTCAAAGTATTCTGGCCTTTTCCCTCCTTGGTCAGGGCTAAATTGACCTATACATTTGCCCGATACTGTGAAGTCCATGGTGGCATCAGTAGACTAGAAACTGGTCATTCATTTATGAAGAGAAGTTTTCTCAAGGCAAGGATAGCCTTTCATGGGATGGTGGGGTCTATGCCATCTGAACTCCTTCTAGGTCACTTACCCCTAGGTGGATTCTTAGTAATTAACATACTACCAGCACATTTTCAACCTAGAGACCAGAACACCATTCCCCGTGTCAACAAAGAGAAGCTTCATTGAAAAATAGTTGAAATTTCTCCTGATGACTTTAAGAGAATAAGTATAGAGGAAAAATATTTTCCCAGAAAATATAAAAAAGGCAGAGAGCAAAAACTGAGAAGTCTGTGGTAAATAACATCCCTTTCAAACATAAAATTTGTTTAGGGTGATAAGCAGTAAAGAATTTAAGAAACAGACAGCTGAAAATGCTTGCCTTTGTAAACTAGCTTTGAAAAGGAAATTATAAATGTCAAGTTGCTTCTGAGTACCTTAGCTGGGAGAAACACACACACACACACACACACACACACACACATTTTAGTTGGAGGATGAATCTTTGCCATAGTAAAAAAATTTATTTTTAATATATTTGAAAGCAGGTAGGAAGCGGAATTCAGAGGAGCTTAAAGTGTAGGTTATATGTTTCATACAGATCACCTGGGGACCTTGTTAAAATGCAGTGGGTCTGGGAGTGTTATTTGTGAGACCCAGGAAAAGACCTCAGGTTTTAAAGGCTGGGCGGTTAGGGGGAGGTCTTAGGGGCAGAGCAATAGAATATTCATCAGCTGTATGAATATTTAATGTACCAAAATGTGATTTATTCTTAAGTTGTCTGTCCTTGGGTGTGGTTGGCAAATGGCACTCATTGGATTTCTATTATCTATCTCCCTGAGTAGGGTGATGTAAGCTACCTACCCCCTGCTGGGGAGGAGAAGTGCAAACCACTTACTCTCTAGTGTCCTTGGTTTAGAGAATAGGATTTGCTAGGTGGCTGCAAACTGCTGTTTAACTGTCTCAGTTTCCCTCTTCTGCTTGTCCTGGAATTTTCCAGCTTCTTACTATTCTATAACATGTGGACTCCACATTCTGCATTTTAACAAGCTCCCAGGAGATGCCAGTGCTGCTGGTCAGAGGACCACACTTGGAGTAGCACATCTCTAAGAAATCTTTTGTTAGTTCCATGGGCCAATGAGCTTACCGGCCATAGATTTTTCCCTCTTTAACTCTGACACATGTAAAGTCCACGCCTTCTGGAGGCCCAAGTGCCTGGCTAACAGTGCAGTTTTCTAAAATTCTAAATGTCAAGTTACAAAATGGCCTGTTGCCCTGTTACAAAACCTGTTGGATGGACTTAAAGGTAATTAGCCAGAGAGGATCAAACACCTTCTCTTGTAGCTCTCCCAGAAACCAAAGTGAATTCTAGGCTCCCTGGGCTACTGGCCATTTCTGCCCCTCCCCCCATCACTGAGGAAAATAGAAGAGCTTTAGTCACACCAAGCGTTGACCAGATGTTTTATTTCCTATGGATTTTACATTTCCATAACATGGAGGGAGCACCTTCTCTTATAGGTGCTTTACTTGTACCAATTGGCATTTGTGGCCTTCCTGAGTTTGTGATCTGATATCCCAGATCATGCTTGAGCAAACTCATAGCACCTGTTTCAAGTGGTGAAATCATCCCTGGTCAGCAGTTGTGCTCTCTGGGAGCCTTTTCCTGAGATAACCTCTTGATGACCTGTACTTTCACCTCTCCTGATAAGTGCAAGACCCAAAATAAAACCGTGCATTTTTGACGGATGAAGAAATTATATAGGTCCTTCCTTTTCCCTTCTCAATGCCCTCAGATTTTTCTAAAGTGAGTATGTTAAGATGATCACTCCTCAGAAAGGCACCAGAGTGTGACTAGTTACATAAACTTGGAATCCAGAAAAGTCAATGTTATGCACAGATTTGAAAAATTCAAGGCAAAACGTATTTTAAAATTTATTCCCACATGGCTTTGGCATACATACTGGAATTTTTGCAGCCAAAACAATCACTTCTATATATTTTTAAATAACTGTAGTCATTTTAATTATAGAAAAACATAGTTATAGTATTTTTTATTTTGAAAAAATAATTTAGAAACATTTAAACATTTATAATCCCACCTTTCAAAGATAACCACTGTTAAAATCTAATTGTTCACAAAGGACTTAATAGCCAGCGTCCTAGGCTCTCTTCTGTGCCTGTGTCTGTTTTTCACTTGACATTATAGTACACACATTTCCCCATGTCATTAAAGGCTTTTGTAAGCAGCATTCTTAATGAATGTATAATATTCCATATTATAACACACCAAATTGTATATGTTTTGATATTCAAATACCTTCATATTCTTAGAACACGTAACAGTTGATAAGTGGAACAGGAAGGACCATAAGGATGTAAAGAGAAATTATCCAGAGCAGAGTAAATAGTTAGCAAGAGATTATCTACTAAAACAACTCTTAAAAATCACAGCTAAGAAAGCAGAAAGCATTCTCCAGAAATCGTCTGACTCAGTTTCCTCAAATGTTTCTGTGTGAATCAAGGAGAGCTTCGTTTGCCATTTGCAGAAGGTCGCAGAGGGCAGTGCCTAATGTGGTCCCTGTCTCGGGCCTGGCGGCAGTAGGTGCTCAACTACTGTTTGAATGGGGGGGCGAGAGGGAGGATGAGGAGGGACTGGCAGAAGGAGGAACAATGTTCCAGTGCTCCATTGTCCGGTTCCATTTGCCTTTCCCTAAAGGAAGCATTTCAGCAGCCTGCCTGCCAGGAAAAGCACAAGGCAGGGAGAAGCAGCCAGGGCACGCAGAAAGGCCACATCCTTGGCAGCCCTTGTGCAGCTGAAAGAAAAAGGTGAAAATAGAAACCATCACATGGCTGCAGACCCAGCACTATAGGCAGAAGCACTTGATACCTCAACTAGATTCTAATTAAGGAAGGGAGGCAGGGAGACAAGAAAATGTGTTGGAAAGAATTTCAAGGATCAAAAAAGAAATGGAATGTGTTAAACATTTGTACACTTGCCCAAAATGGACTTGTAACTGCTGGAGTGATCAGTGGAGAAGCAGCATAAGGAATTTTTAGACTATAGGAAATGCTTTTGTTTCAGTTTCATTTTCCACAATTCGATGTTGTGCCATAATTCTTGATTCAGGAGACCCTACATTCTATACATTAGAATACTGGGGTATCGGTGCACGTTAAAAATGCAAGCCACTTTCCATTCAGGGTGGATGTGATGAAAACAGAGTATTAGGGACTGTTCACACTTTCCTCCTTTCTGCTTTTAAAATGGTGTAGGTGGGAGCCCCAGCAAATGGGAGTCACTCTGGCAGTATCCAGAAGCTTTATCACCCTCAGGGCAATGACACAAATTTGACACCTAAACACATGCCTGATTATAAAAGAACCAGAGAGACATGTTTATCTGTTGATAGGTAGATTATTCTATCCAAACAGACATAAGGAAGTTTCAAGGTGGTGGCAGAGGTTAGAAGGGGCAATGAAAAGACAGAAGAAGGCATTTTCACATTCTAAAATGTATTTTTCTTGGTCTCATCAGCCTTCTACTTCCTTGTCAGTCACCTAAAGTTTAAGCAGAAGAAAGGCAGTATTTATTGGGCAGGGAAGGGGATCCCAGGGGAGAAAGTACTAGGAAACTGCCCTGTCCTGAGGTGGAATTGGGGACACACCAGAGATTCCTTTGTACACATACTACTGGACAACTACCTAAAGTTAGCATTCTTAAAGTCAATTTCCACTTAAGTAGTTAGCCCAGTGCCCACCCCTGGTTTATAGAAGATGTTGGCACCGGGCTCACAGTCTTCTCCGCCTCCCAACCTGCCTCCATCCAGAGGTACTTTCTGTCCAGGTGGACGACAAGCCAATATCCTAGCATCTCAGTACCTTACATTCCCCATCCTCAAACACCTTTACCTGTACTCCTCCTTGGTCACCTGCTCCCTAGTCATATCCAGACCCTACTGGGTCCTGGAATCCTTAATTCTAATATCCCCAGTGTCAGACCACAAGCTCCTTTTCTACATACACTGTGGGGGTAACAAATCAACCTTTCCGATGGATGCCATCGTAAGTTCCTTTTTGGTTCTTTAGCTGGATCTCTCCCATTCTCCACAGTGGCTATTGCAGACTCTGTGTCACTCAAACTTCCAACTCCATCTTTCTCTCAGCAAATGACCATGCCACCAACTTCTCTCCTCTCCCACCCCCAAGAGAAGAAAACTTCAGATAACTATATACACCCATCTTTGCCCCTTCCCTCTTGATCAATGAAAGAGCTGCCTTCCTCTATTTCAACCTGGTTCACCCACCTTGTTCTAAATGCTACTTCTCCTCGTGGCACTCACACTGTTATTTCTTCTCTCGTTGCCACATTCAACCTCCTTCTCTCCTGGAGCTCATTCCATCCATTTAAACATGCCCCACTCTCTGGAAGACAAAACAAGCCTCTGTTAACCCTGCCTAACCCTCCAGCTCATCCTCTAGTTAACCGCCAAACTTACCGAGGGAGTTGCGTGCTGTTAGTTATCCCCACCTCCTCCACCTCCTACTCACTCCTCAACACTGGAAATGCACCTCCACTTCCCACCCCCACCCTTGTAGGGCTCTTACCAATGTTACCAGTGACCTTTTCAGTCCTTTTCTGAACTATTGGCTGCACAGGTGACCTCCACTCCTTCCCTGCAATATCTTCGGCTTCTAAGACAACTCTTTCTCAGGCTTTCTTCCTCACCCCG